ACCACTAAGGGACTAGTCAACCCCACACTTGATGATCCCCCTCCTCACCCCAGGCCAGATGGCACTTTGTGGTCTGGATGCAAAGGTTGGCCAGACACCCTCCCTTTTCTCAGAACAGAATGCCAGGAATGTTTCTCTTCAAAACTGGCACACTACTTTCTATTTGAAGGGGAGAGCAAATTTGGCCCTTGACTTCCAAATGCTGATCATTACACAGAGTACCATTTTTTTAAGTCCATATATTTCTCTACCTGAATCCCACCCTTGCAGTGGTGGTCACCTGTTTATGATCGAGGGCAGCACAAATTCAAGGTAAGATTCTTTCAGAGGGAAGAATGGCAGGAGTCCAAGATACCAGAGAAAAAGCATGAAGACGATTCTCTTCTTGGAGAAGATGTAGGGCATGTCTTTGTTCTGGGGGATAAATAACATGTATATTTTAGGCAGCATGAGGATTTGTCATTCCTAGACTTAATTGCTGGGAAGAATTCTGCACTTGGTTCTACAGACCCATTTTCCAGATTGCTGAGCATCCAATCCCAAATAGAAGGGAAGGTTCAGGGAAAACACAATTCCTGCCCTGGCTTGGAAAACATGACTGCTTAACACAGATTTTCCACCTTGGTTGGTGGTTTAGGGAGCTGCTCTCTAATGCTTACGCAGGACTGGAAAAAGCAGGTGTAACAAGCCTGTCTAGAAAGAAAGCTTAAGAAGAGAAAGGAGGAAGGAAGGTGACTTTTGACCATGCTCTAATGTGTCCAAGAGATACTTTATTTATTGCTGTCTGAAGAATCTAAGCCTACATATTTTTATACAATCTGAAGCTTGAGCGAAAAAGGGTTAGTAAACATAACGTGTGAAAGTGGAGAAAAAGGCATTTAATACATACAGCTTTCTGGCATTTTTTAAGTGCTTGACCATCAAAGGAGGCCCAGATGCTGATGTGGGAGCGATGGTATTTCCGGACGAGATCTGCTACCTGTGTTCATGGGCAGAATAAGATGTACTCAGATAACATTCCTACAAAGAATCTCAGCTTTTTGCTGCACAGTTGCCTATTGTGGAAACTGAGTAGAAGCACTAATCTTCAGACTCAATGGGAACTAAGCCTGAAGGCACCAATCAGGTGCTTTCTCTGTTGGGTACTGATCTGGCTAAAGATACACTAGGTTTATGCACTTGTATACTCTTTTCGTATTGTGGAGCTCTATAGACATTCAGCTTCTTCTAACACCTGCGATGCAAACGGTGATGTGAAAATGTGATGGAAGGTAGGGCCCCTGATCCACCAGCCAGTACTGTGTGTGGCCACCTATACTGTAGGTGCAGGGATGGGCAACTTGAAGACCTCAGGCTAATTACAGCTCTCTTTATTTTTTT